AAAATCCATCGTTCGATCGCTAGAAAAAACATTTTTATTAAAAATAGAAATTAAATTCCTAAAAGAATCGAAACGAGAATCATTGACGCATCATTTGTCAGTGACCTATCTATCCATTACTTGATTCACGTTTCAAATTCAATCTATTTTTCGATGTCTCTTCTAAGAAACTTAACTTCCATTGTACTTTTCTTTTTTTTTTATGCTTCGTCTATGTTCCTGTAATAATTCTTCTATTAAAAAAGAAAAAAAAAAATCATCGAAATTTTCAAAAAATCATCGAAAATTAAAATAAAAATCATAAATTAAATGAAATTAAAAATTATCGAAAAAAAATATAATAATTAAAATTAATTGTTATCGTTAAAACTATTAAAATGTAACAAAAAGTAAGAAAAATAAACAACAATAAATTTGTCAAAAATGTGTTTAAAGATATCTTTAGAAAAGAAGTAAAACGTATCTATACTTTAGATATTGTTACGATAATAATATCGATAAAAAATGACCAAGAAATTAACAAAATAAACAAAAAAAACATTAAGCCTTCTTTACGCATCTTACAAATTAATAATAATAAGAAAAAATTAAAAAAGAACTAATTATCAAAAATATTATCGATAAAAAAATTAAACCATTAAATTTTAAAGAAACGAAAAATAATAAAACAAACGTAACGTAATGATATAACACCGATTGATAAAATAGTAAGATGAAAATTAATAACGTTACGAATATTATTAGAATATTATTACGAATATTATAGCGAACGTGAACCGCGACGCAAGAAATAATAACACATCGGTTATTATTATATATCTTCGTAGTCGGTTTCCAAGCACGGAACGAAGCGGACGTGTTTCTCTCTGCTCTCCGAAAGAGCTTATCGCTGTAAATAAAATATTATAGTATAAAAATTTATTAAACGAGTAAAATATTGCGGTATAAGGATTATTAACGAATTTTATAAATTATATAATAAGTTATAATAAATCGTTCCAAGGATTTAATAATACTATGATTATACTATAAAATAATATACTCACTAATATTAATTATAATTAATCAATTTAAAACTTTCTCAAATTCAATTTTCCCTTTTCGCTTGATATTCAAAATTTAAACAATAAATTCCTATTAATCCCTACAAACCATAAACAGAATTTAAAATCTTCAAAAATTCAATTTTATTTTTTTTCTATTTTGCTAAATATTAAAATTGTAAATATTTAATCATTCTTATTAACCATAATTAAAATTTAGAAATTCCAAAAATATAATTTTTTTTTAAATATTAAATCTGTAAATTTTTGTTAATCCATATAAATAATCATTCAAATTTGCTTTTTTCTTTTTTCTTTTAAATAATCATATGATAAATTTCTATCGTAAATTTATATTTTATATAATATATATATATATTTATATTATATAAATTAGAATTTGAAATTTCTAAGAATTTCTCTGTAAATTTCTCTTTTTTATTAGATATATTTCAAATAATTCTATAATTAAAATTTAAAATTTTCAATTTTATCTTTTTCTCTTTTCTTAAAATTTCGAGTAATAAATTTTCATTAATCCCGATAAATCATAATTAAAATTTGAAATCTCAAAAAATTTAATTTTCCTTTTTTCTTATAACTTAAATATTTAAATAATAAATTTCCATTGAAAGAAAAAAAGAAAAAATAACCTGTTTAAATCTCTATAAACGGAATACAAAATTTTTAAAGATTCAAATTTTCCTTTCATTTTTCTTTTAGATATTAAAATTAAAAAATTAGAAATTTCCATTAATCCGTATAAGTATAAAAGTATAGAATTTAAAATTTCAAAAATTAAAATTCCATTTAGAGATTAAAAATAAAAAAAAAAATTAAAATAATCCTTATACGTGTATCTTTTAAATTGTACATAGCGTACAGTTGTGTCTACAATTATTGAATCATCTGCTACGTAAAAGAATTTTCTATGATCTAAAGTTTCTCGATAAAATAGTCTTAAGCAACAGTTTTAAACGTTAAATATTTTTTCGATATTTTTTTCGATATTAATTATTTCATTTATCGTTTATTTTGCAACTGTTATTAAATAATAAAATTTAAATTTTCAATAATTTAATACTAATGAGAGAATTTAATATTATATTGAAAGATAATCGATTGAATTAAATCATAATAAGTATAGAGCGATAATCTTCTATAGATATAATATTATTTCGAATTACTATTATATTTGACAATAGTAAAGAAAGGATTTTGCGAGCAATCGATCGTAAATTATTATAGAGAGATAATCTACTAAGATCTAACGAGAGAATAAATAGAATAAAGATTATATTAACGAATAAATAAGCGGATACTTTATAAATTCATATTAATTTATTTAAATAGCATTTTATATAAAAGTTAAGTATTGTATTCTTTTTTTTTTTTGACACATTTTAAATAGTTTGATATATTAAAAATTATCTTTTGTATAATATTAGATTTCATATTTTATTTCTTATTATTTTATTTTAAAATTTATCATTTTTCTTTAATATATATTATTGCTTTTCACATATTCGATGATTCGATATATTATATTGTATAAGAATAATTATAAACTACGCAAAAATTGTTATTTTAATTTAACAATATATATTTGCAATGTATCGAATATTTTCCCAAATTAAGATATAGATTTTTTATTCGGATATATATTGAATCAACATATCGAACAAAGTTTTGTTTTGTTTTTATTTTCTTCAAATCTGTTATTAAGTTTTATTAATTCATTCTATATAATTTGTTTCAGAATTATTTCTTTTTCAATAAATAGAATAAAAGGATCTTTCTTTTTCCATCATCTCTTGAACCGTTGTCGTTGAATGCTGTCTTGAAAATTTCTCTCTCTTTCGGTTGGCCGTTAGTCCAAAATAAATGAGAAAGGCATTTATAAAAGGTATAGTATCTATTGGTATAAAAAAAATATATTTAAACATTCACTTAATCAATATACAAAATTTGCATATATGATTTTATTGAGTAATTATTGATATGTAATATATATTATTATATATATATAATTATTTTTTTAATATAATTTAAAATTATTATGTTTTGTTTCATTTAACAAATACCTCTTGAAAGAACTTAACCAAACTCTACTAAGCTGGACTTTGTCGTAAAGATATATATGCTTAACTCTTGTGTCGGCATATTATTATTCTTGTCTCATCATTGATTCTTGCTTCATTCGAACGATAGGTAATTTAGTTTCTTGTTTCTTGATTATAAACATACATGTTGTAACACATTTGTTATGATACTGTTCTAAGGAGGTTCTAAGCATTTTAATGATAATAGTAAACTTATCATCCTTGTATTCGCTATTGAAATCTCCTGTTCTGCCTTTCAAGCCCTTGATTACTGTTTTTTCGATAACATTTTTCTTTTGTTTCCATAGCTTGTCAATATGCCAATTTTCTTCGATATTATTTCCATGACGTAGGGTACATTTTGTCTTATTTTATCTGCTATTTCTGCTAAAGTTTTAAAATCTGATTTTTCTGAAATCAAAAAAAGATGCGTTTCTTATTCGAACTGTAATAATTTTAACAATTCATTATTTATTTCAATCTCCAGTCTGTCTCGTTTTTTGTCTAATATTCAATTTCGTTCGAATTTATTTATTTGCTTTTCCATTGTAAAAATTCATAATTTTAAAAATTCATCATTTACCTCAATTTCCTGCCTGTACAATTATTTATGGATATTCTTTTTTTCTTTATTATTGTCTTTTAAGGTGAACGTATCATTTCAGATGTGCAACATGCTTGCTTATCTTATCTTCTCGTGAAACCACGTGTTTGCAACTTTTTTTTTTATCTCCTCGCGAAATCACAGGAGTCATATCAATTTCATGTTCGTTACTATAACAAAAGAAAAAATTAAAAGATTTTGTTGTTAATCATTTTTATTATTGGTACATTCTTACTTCATAATATTCGGTCGTAACACTTTCGACTTTTATCTTCGATTGTCACATATCGCTCTGACTTGTTGGCCGGATTGATGGTCGGTAAAATTGATTTCGTCGAGATGTCGCCACATGATCTTTTTTTGAGATCGGTATTTCAGAACATGTGACGCAAAATCCGATAAAATATCTTGTTCGTTCTAAGTATTATCTGTGAAAGAACTTATTCTTTTCAAATACGATAATTATAGCCATAGACTAAATATTTTATATATATTATATATTAAATACAAGAGCTAATTCTTACTAGTCTAGTTTTATATTTGTTTATATCTAATCTAGATATTTCATATTTTTTTAGCTTATGCTATAGTTTAACGAACAAGATTATTTGTTTTGACTGGTCAATAATATCAATAACGTGGTATAGATAGTTATCTGTCTAATGAAAATTAGACTTTCAACATGAAATATTTAAAAATATATATATATATATATAT